AGAATTGAAGACCAGTCTCTCTCCACAAGTCTCAATCTCTTTCTGCATATCCTCAGCAGGACAGGGAGGAGACAGCCTCATCCCCAAGTCTTAGGGAGGACACATTCAAGCTGTTTCTGAAACACCCTTGGCAAATGATCCGAACAAGGAGCAGCTGTACAACCACTATGCTGACAGCTGTATTTCTGAATCAGAATGACATTTGGTGTCTTATGTTCAACTTGGTGTTGTTGGTGTATAATTAGTAAGGTTTAAGCATGCCTGCCTGGGGCTTTGCCATCAGCACACTGATGTTACCAACTGCAAATGGGCTAAGGCTTGAGGCACTCAGCTCTGCCAATATAGCAGCTCTCCTGGGCGAGCACAGGCAGGGAATCTGCAAGTTTTTACAGCCTTCTATGCTAAACAGGTAGGTGAAAATCAGCCTTGCCACAGGTGGCAGGTCTTCTGACCTACTGGGAAGAGTAACTTGAGGCACCTAGGAAGTTTTACTGGTAATCACTGAGGCCTCTGAAAATTCAAGTGACCATAAATGAAAGAAAAAAAAAAGTGGTTCTACTCTCCAGGATTAATGCTATATCTCCTATCAGTAACTAGTATTTTTACCATTTGTTGTTACAGCCTACCTAGATATTATACCCACAGGTGGATGATAAAAATCTCTCTGTAGCAAGAACTTCAGATAAGCAAGAGCTGGTCAGAAGGTTCCCTTTACTTAACACAGAAAGGGCCAGGTCAAAGTCTGGGCAATTCCCAGTCAACAGTTTTTTTTGTTTTTGTTTTTTTTTTTTATGTACTTGTCTAGAGTGTCTGGTAATAGCAATAGGCAATGTTTTATCCACAGCTTATGCACTGGAAAGCCCATGCATTATGAACTATGGATACTAATGGAAAAATAAGAGCTGCTGATGACAGTAACTGCTAAAATGATCTGAGTCTGTTACTTCTTGAATATTAGCTCTACATCACAAGTGGATGCAAAAATGATACACATTTTATTCCTGAATAGTCAGCTTAGTTACAATGCAAATTAAGTAAGGGGGTAAGAAAATAAAGTGATCTAAAAAAAAATCTAGAAAAATAAATGAGAGAGGGAGAGAAATGTTAGGTGAAATATACATAATTTCACAATATTTATCTTAAAATATAAGCCGTATAAAGAGAGTAGTCATACAATAACACAAGACAGAGTAAAAATAACTGGAAATTCTATTAATCTCCTATATTCTTCATAATTTTTCATACTACATTTTTCAATAAATTATTTTGTAAAGGTAGTCTCAGTAGTTCAGCACTGAAAGTATAGGATGTAAATGGAGACAGGTATTATTTTTAATTAACTGAAACATTTTCTGGTCCTGCTTTCTATTAAAGCCTAAGATGAATATGTATTTGCACTGATTATTTTAGTCTCATTTGTTATCTTTATTAACAATATACCTACCAACAGGCAGGAGAACATTCAGTTGCTCTGTTCAAGTATAAAAATAAGTCTTTATCAATGCAAGATAATCAAGTGCACAGACAACATGGAAACCTTTATTAGGAAAAAGAAAAGTCCGGCTTCTAAGAATAAAGTCTAAGTTTCATTGGCAGTAATAAGCTTATTTAAGCAAACTTTTTACATTTTCAATTATTTTTTAAAATTATTTACATACCACACAGAGGAAGCCTGGTAATTTCTATTATCGAAAATAGGCAATTGGCAGTTTATAAAAAGATGCACAATAAAAAGTGAAGTCTGCAATTTCAAAAGAGCTTACACAAAATCTTGGTTGTTTTATTACAGGCAAAAGCTACACAACTCTTAGTATCAGCACTTCAGCATCATCCTTTTAACTGTAAACATCCATAAAGCTGTCAGCAACATAAAACAAATGGCTAACTAATACATCGTATCAGCAAGTGCTGTATTTTTCTCACAGTCATGTTTGTGAGCTGTTGTAACACTATGTCAGGGAATCAATAGCTATGATTTCCCTTTGCCAGATGTTATTTGTCCTTTTCCTATTTAATGGAAGCAGAAATGGGCTTCCTATAAAAAAAAAATCACTAAAAAAAATTTACGAAAGCATTAACAGTTCTATTAGTGTTGTTAAAAAGCAATAAATAAATAAATAAATAAATAAATAAATAATAATAAAAAATTATGCATACAAAATTATACTGAATAAACACTGACATAGCCAAATGGAATATGTATGCACTTCTACATAGCTAGCTCCAAAAGTGATGCCTCCTATTTACCATGGAAACTACAACAGATATGAAGAGCACAATGACACTATTTAATAGAGCAAATTCTCAGCTACAAAGCACCACCATCAGCCAGTGATTTTTTGCCAGTGATGAACAAGAGCCTGTATGCCACAATCATAACCACCTGCACCAGCCAAAGCAATCTGCTGTTGCTGTCACCACTGCAGAAATGCACTACCCAGCACCTCACTGTGCTTACATCCCTGTTTGCGTCTCCATAAATTTGAGCAAGTGTAGATGAATGCCATTAAGTTCCATTTTTTCTACATGGAGGAATTCAATCACACACCTTTGCTTCATACACACTTCCATGTCAGATGCCGTTGTGTCAGAGTGCCCCACTGCTGCCATCTGTCACATGGTAACAACATGCAATGGGATATTGGTGGAAAGATTCAACCTCTGTTGTCACAAAATCAACATCCACCTCTGGTGTTGTGGGCCACAATGATAAAATAGGAGGCATTACTTTCAGAGCAGTCCTTGTAGTTGGTAACACACCAACCTTCGTAACAATATGAGATTTGTATATAACAAGGAATGAATGATAATTCCTACAGCATACAAGAAAAGTCTGTGCTAGCTGCTTTTCCTCGCATCCTACGTTCAAATACTGGGTAAACTATCTTTGATAGAATGAAACCAATAATACATTTCCATTGAATCATGATAAAATATTAGACTAAAGCTAAATGCTTTGAAAATTCTAGGTTATGTATCATTGTTATGGAAATATATGCTCATATTAATATTGAATTAGGAAGAAAAATTAGAAACAGCTTATCAAACTACCTTCTCCTAATCAAAAAGAACATAATATCAGGAACGTATAGGTGTATGTACTAAGTTTTATATTACTAAGAAGATAATATGGTTCCTACTCCTAAAACTTCAATAAAACATAATCGGACTAGAATGTAAAAAATCGAATGCTGCAGCACATTGGAAAGAAAAAGCCAGTTAATAGAGCAATACAATTAGCAGCCATTCAGAAGGTTCTACTGCACAGCACTGGGCTTGAAAAGTAGTTAAGTAAAATGTACTCAGACATAAAAACCTGCTGGGAAGCTTGCGAGCTAGTCACTAACTCAGCAGCTTTCATCTGTTAACAAGAAAGTCAATTTTAAAAGGTTAACAGAACATACAGATGAAAAAGTGGATGCATCAAAAGGCCAGATGCTTTTCTATAAGATGATCTTGTTTCTTAAAAACAATTAGAAAGCAAAATCTAGGTATTAAAACAAACAAACAAACAAAACCTCACTACAAATAATCCACTGTTTTGGTGGTCAATATTCAGAAATCTATATTTTGAGGAAAAAAAATCAGAATTTTTGTATTTCATTTGTGTAAGTACCAAGGAATATGAACACCTTCACAAAACCCTATGGTTCTCTCTGTAGAACATTTTCAACTAAGAAATACTTCAAATTCATACTAGATGTTAATTATGACAATGACATTTTGATACAAGTAGACGTGTACTGCATGTAACACGCCCTTCTTCCTTTCCTGCAACTGTTTTAAATGTCCAGTTACGTTCCATGGCGCCGGTGCTTCACACGTTTCAGTAACACTTCTTTTTTTTGAAGGCAAATTAGAAACATCTGGGTGAAGCAGATAAAACCTCAGGCAACAGAGAATAAAAGAGGAGTGAGACTAAGAGCAGAATCATTGGAAGAGTGAGGTGCAGAATATCCTCCCTAGGGAACAGAGGATGGTGTGAAAGCAGGGGATCACACTGCAGTGATTGTAACTAAGGAATCTGAAAAACTTCTTGCAATGAAGTTCTGGAGTTTATTATCTCGTTTATTATTTTACATTTTAATAAGGAACTACGAGTCCTCTAAGAGATTATATACATTTCAGAAACATCGTTTTTCATAAATACTATACTTCTGGGGACCTTCAATGCAGTTATCCAGCCAAAAAGCCATTCCTTCTCTTTTGCCACAGACAGCTAGATTGCAGACTACAGCTAACAAAATCGAAGCAAGTCTTTCCGGTTGTACATGCACGTTCATTTAAATGTTTGAAGAAGTTTCAAACTTCAGGAGGGGAAAAGAAAAGAAAAAGATAATACAATGCTTCTGTCTAGGAAACTCACTTCCACAATTTTAGATTTTACTTCTTAACTGAAAAAGAAACACACAGGACAAAAAACGAACAGTGCAATTTTATACAACAACTGAGAAATGCACAGTAATGTATTTCACTTCTTGTCCAAGGAAGAGGCGCTATTTAGCTATTTTTGCCAAAAACTCCACTGCTGAATCAAATGAAAACTTGTTTAGAGTTGCACAAAATTCTCAAGCATACATTCCTGTATCTATCTGTTCTACAAAACAAAAGAGCTGCGACAGCTCACTACAGGACAAGTTTGTCAGAAACCTGCTAACCCATTTGTTGTACTTTTATCAGTTAAAAAAATAATAACAAGCAAGAATAGCCTCATAGAGATAACAATCTACTTTATATAACACGATATACGTTCCACCATATTGACTTGCAATAGCATACTAGATAATTTAAAGAACGTGTCGTCAGCTTTAATTACCTGAAGTATATATAAAAGATCTTACGAGTGCTGTGTTACTACTGTTCTGTCAACACAATAGCTGTGGAAAACCTTAATAATGATAAGGGCCTCAACAGTCTCTGCTTATCAAGATAGTAGGTAAGATAAGAGAACTAATTTATTACCATAAACTCTGAAGTGTGGTTAATTCAACTGCTCATACCTTACTGACAGCTGTTATCTGCTTCAGTGCCATAGCATGAAGATCTTGATCCATGCTTTCCACCAGTAGTTTCAGGGATGGCAGCAAGAGGGAATGGTCAAGCAGCAACAAGCACAGTTCTTTTATACACTGGAAATAAAAGTAAACTCATTCAGCAAGATCTCTGGAGATATTAACATCATCATTTATACTAAAATTTATGAAAATTTTGTGCCAAATGCAGTATGAAAACCAACATGTGAAACAAATGAACTCCCCGATGGAAATAACTCTTTAGAAAGCTGAACAGACAGATCTAAAACAATGTAGAATACACGGTTATAAGTGGAGTGTTTGTTACATTAAAGCAAGACAGGCACTGAACCTACATTACATTCTGGAGTTTCTTAAACAGCAACAGAGAAATCACAGCCCTCTCTGGGATTAATACATTTGTGCTCAGTGAAATAGTGCAAAGTACAGAAAGAAATTTACCAGACACCTTTGATACTTCTGTGACTCAATTATGCAAATAGAAAAATGGAACAAATCAAAGAGAAAAAAATAGTATATACCACAGTGCAACACCATAAAGCTTTGTTGCAAAACTATTTCAAACTTAATACAAAGTTCTATACGTGATGAAAGCACAGCAATTCAACCTTTCTCTCTTTCATATAATTTCTCATATTTTATAAAAAAGCACAAATTTAGGATCAAAAACTGATGCAATCAAGAATTAATAACCTTTTTAAAAACAATGTCTTTCTGAATCTGCATCTTGGACTGCAGCTTTGCAACAAAGCAAACAAACCAATCAAACCATGTAACTTGCAGTTTTGTTTTCTCTCAACAGTGCAATGATTTATCCACTTCAAGAAGCATTTAGATTAACAAATTACACAATAAATCAGACTACAGTATCCTTTTCCATTTTCCAAGAATGCTGTTCATTTACTACAACCATTCTCCACAGAGACCCAGCAGAGATGTCCTGTATTACAGGGAACTTACACTGAGTGTCTTGAGTATTATGCAACACTGTCCCCCTGAAAATAGCAGCCAAATCATCCAAGGGGTCTCTGTTTCACTACAACTTTTAGAAAAGCTACAGTCGTCAACTGCTCATGCAACTTTTTGATAATTTCACATTGCACTGGATTTCTTTTCAGCAGTATGCTTGATATAACAAGAAACCTACTAAACACAATCTTAGAGATTCACTCTGCAAAGTCTCCTTTCCTTGAAAAGGTGTATCCATGGCAGTAAATGGAGCTTATGCTCAAATATTTCAAAAATAACTTATGAATTGTAAGATACACAAACTGAACAAAACAGCAATTTTACCATACTTAGTAACTTTTTCTACCTGAAAGCCTCTCAAAGCTAAACAGAGAAGCAGCATCATAAGAAACTACCCATAAAAAGGCTCTCTAAAACAGCTCCAAATCATGTTTTATGATGGTGTGTGGAAGAAAAGGAAACTAAGCAAATTTTTCAATGTAACTAGGTACACTACACGCTTAAAGCAACAGGTCAAGGAGACCAATGCTGCAGGTGTTGACTGTGTTTGCTGTCTCATTGCACTGCTTTAAGACAAGGAAAATTGTATCATTTGGCAAGCAAATGCAATAATATTAACTTCCTCATTTTCAAAGCAATTGCATTTAACTCAGATGACGTGCCATTGTTTAGTCTGCATCTTAGATGTTTCAAGATTATGCTCTAATACTGGTTATGCATTCTAATGGGACATTTTGTGAAGCAATCTGCTTTGTTCATCGCAGAGGCATAAAGGCCTCCACAGAAGAACACACACACTTAGCTATCCAATTAGTTTAGCAGATTTGAAGTGAAAGGCCGTTAGACTTCAGGTAGCTACCAGATGTATTACTTGAGTATCTTTGTGCCTTATTTTAATGTGCCTAGGAGACATCAGACATCCAGAAACAATGTTCAAATTTAGAGAACCCATAATTATCCTTAAAGCAGAAGTACATTCCAGTGATTGTCATGCTTCTTGTTATACACTTCTTCGTAAACTAAAAGAGCCTTTTATTAGCTTCTTTTCCCTCTAGAAACATCCACATCAAGTTACTTCTCAGTCCTTCATAAGGTAATATACTGCACTCTTTCAATCTTCTACTTTCAGGTACTTTTATCTGTGCACTAACTCTTGCATGCTCTCTGTTCTGTCCCTCACTTTTAAGCGTCATTTCAAAATGTTGCTGTAATAACAAAGCATCATATTCTCATCAGTGGTTTACACAGCCTCTATTTTCCTGGTACTCTTGTGATGCAGCATCATGATTAATGACACACTGCTATGAAAAATCTAGTAACACAACGTAAAGAAAAAAAAACAAAAAAACAAACCTTTCTTGCTTTAGTTTTTATTAAAAGATCTCAACCAAATAAACAGTAATAATAATGTAATAATAATGGGTGAGAATTCAGCACTGAAAAATTTGTTTGATAAATAAACAAACAGATGTTTCTAAGACTGAAAAATTTAGCTGAAGCACTCACAAAAATGATAAATCAAGAGACATCACCCTTGATAAGAAGATGGGCTATGTAAGACCTTTAGAAATAGAAGAAAAAAGACAAGGAAGAGGAAAAGGAATTATAGATACTTATCAGATACTGAGTCTGTGAAAACTATCAAAACATAATGAGAAATCAAGCAAAAAATCATACCAAAAAAAATGTTCCTCTGGACCTTTCAACAGGTTTCATAGTTAGGAATAAGGCCATCACTATGGTGTATTTTCAGTTTTGCACGATTTTGAAAATGTCAATGAAACACTGTCAATACACTGGTCCAACATGCAAACCCATCTGCAATAAGCCAACACCTGCAACACTTCAAGACCAAGACAAGCAGGTTTTTCTCTGCAGTAACAGTGGAATGCGCTTTGTGCTGTGGTGTGAGGCTGTGTGTACAGTGGAGAGGATGGTATCTGTGTCAGGGTATCTGTGACTTTCCATCTGTCATTGCCATGAAGTAGCAGAAACTTTTGTAAAGGATTTACAAAACAGATTTCACAGGAGTCTACTTTTGCTCCAGTATTATTCAAAGTTTCAATGGATAACTTCAATGTGTTTGCAGATAACACAAGGCTGAGTGGTGCAGTTGGCACACCTAAGGGACAGGATACCATCCAGACAGACCTAGGCAGGATCAAGCTGTCTTGCATTACACTGCATTACATGGGTCATGGCAACTCCCATTATCAGAACCAGCTGAGAGATATAAAGATAGTGCACAGGCCTTACAAAAAAAGACTTGGAGGTACTAGTAGCTGGGAAGCTGAACATGAGCCAGCAATGTAATCTCACAGACTAGAAAGCCAACGGTATCCTGACTGCCTCAAAAGAAGCATAGCCAGCAGGGTAAAGAAGGTGATCCTGTCTCTCTGGCCTGCACTGTTAAGACCTCACTTGGAGTAACGTGTCCAGATGTGGAGTCCTCAATATAGGAGAGACACAGACCTGTTGGAGCACACCCTGACAAGGACCACAAAAATGATCCAAGGAATGGAACATTGCCACTGCAAGGACAGGCTGAGAGAGCTGGAGCTGTTCAGCCTGGAGAAGAGAGGTCAGGAGAGATGGGACAACAGCCTTATAGAGTCTAAAGGGGGCTCTAAGAAAGAAGGAGATGGCACTTTAGCAGGGTCTGTTGTGACAGGACAAGGGAAATGGTTTCAAATTGAAAGTGGGGAGATTCAAACTGGATATAAGGAAGTCGTTTTTTATGATAAGGGTAGTGAAGCAGTGGAACAGGTTGCCCAGGTGTCCCAGCCCTAGAGACATGGAACATCAGGCTGGATGGGGCTCTGAACAAACTGGTCTAGTTGTAGATATCGCTGTTCATTGCATGGGAGTTGAATTATATGACCTTTAAAGGTTCTTTCAACTCAAACAATTCTATGATTTTACGATATTCAAAAACCTCAAAAAAAAAAAAAAGGATCAGAATCAACTGTAAGTAAAGAAAAACATACAAAGTAAATTCATACATAAAAAGCAGGAATAATCAGCTAAGAATAGAAAAATGTTATTCTGGGAGATAAATACTTTATGGCCACTAGAACGTCAGCAGATTACAAAGAAGAGACTAGATGCATTCTCCCATTTAAGTGTTTAGGTTACCTGACACATGACCATGACCTAAACCTTGATAGAAAAACATGAGATATTCAGGGGAGTCAAGCTTTAACGCTCAGTTGGGGTAAGACTTGCCCTTTTCTAAAGAAATTAACCAGGAAACACAGGAGAAGTCAGATAGTTCAAATGTGCATTCCAAACAAGTAAAACAACGCTTACTTCAATGAGAAGTAATGAAGAAAAACCTATCCATGAATAATGCAAATGAAACCAACCAAAACAAAAAGCCCACATACACAGATACAAAGATTAAAACGGTGCAATTCCCCAGAAGACATTAAAAAGAGTTTGGCTGTAAAAAAAGCTAGAAAGACCAGCAGGAGGAAGAATAAAGGAAAAAAGAAGGCTTTCTGATTAAATTTGCATCTAAAGAAATGTTTTTTCTAACTTCTAGACCATAATGACTTAAATCTTTTTTTCCAACACAACATTTGGACTTCTGAATAGAAATATTATCCATGTTGATAAAATGATCTCTCAGTTTTTGGAGTTCTATCATTTTAGGTTTCTCCTCTTAATAAGTGTGTTTATTCAAACAAGAAGTCATCTCAGTAGGTTAATGGTCAGCAATCAAATTTTCATATTGTTTAGCCGTGTGGCCTCCATTCTCTAATTTGTGCATTTAATCACTGGAGCCATGCATATACATAAATTACATAAGTTAATTACTTAAATTTACCCACGTTTCTTCCTCTTCAAACTTAAAACACCATAGCTTGCATTTGTAGCCTCACAATTCAACATTATAGCGCAACTCCTGTTGCCATACAACATTCTAGTATCCATAGGAAAGGTTTCACAAATTGATTCTCAAACATGAGATGAGTTTTACTAGTAATGAAATTCGTATCACATCTGTATATTCACACCCATATGTAGGGTTCTTCCATAACCAGTACCTTTGCAAAACAAGGCATCTCCAACTAAAGCCAAACAACATTGAAACAGTGAATAAATAAATAATGGACTAGTTACAGAATTCAGGAAAAACGTCACTTCAGAAATCACAATTTATTCTTGGTAAACTGATTGCTGTAAGATCATAGCCTTCACTAAGATTAACATTCCTGGTTTGATAAAGTGAGTTAGAAAATTCTACTTCAGCAAGGTTTGACTACTCTCATGCAAAAGATTGAGTTTACGAGCCATGATGAACCACTCAGCACCACCTAAAGAACTGCTACATACACTTATGCCAGTCCCAAGGATACAGAAATCAGCCTTACACCAGAATTTGTATTTGGAATGAATAAATTAATAAATGTATGCATTGTTTCAGTTTAGTGACAGTTTGAGGAGTTGTGTTTTACACAGACTTTGAACTTAACTGCAATCAGTCTGACTATTCCAAAAAAGAAAGCAACCCCCAACCAGTCTACTTTAAACAGAACACATTGTTTCTGTTCTCCTTATAATCTTAACATCAGCTTTTTCTTTTTTTTTTTTTTTCCTATCACAAAGGCTATGATTGTGTGAAGATAATTACAAGGGATTAATCAACCTAGTAAAATATTCACAGGACTACTCTAAAGCTGCATGAAGTTTATTAAGCATTTCTCAAACACATCTTCGTTAGTATACATTGTTTATGTACAAACACTTCAATAATTTTATCCTTCAGAGATTCTTGTATTGAAGTATGCATACACAGTTAAGGAAGACAGAATATTATCAAAAAGTAATTGCTTGAACATAAATTTTTATCACCAACACATTTTCAAGGATTTCTCACTCAACTTTTATACAGTTATGAGAGAAAATTACTGACACTTTAACAGCTTTTGCCACACTGACAGTAATGCATAAATGAAGTCTTTTTAGAAATACATGAAAGAATGGGTGCATTCCTGGGTGACCTAATCTAGGTGCTCCTGCTTCTGCAGGGCGATTAGACTAGATGATCTTTCGAGGTCCCTTCCAATTTCTGTCATTCTGTGATTCTATGACAGCACTAATGCTCATATAACTTAATTCACGCTTAAATCAGTCAGCCTCAAAAAATTGCCCAAGATGCGATTCAAATTCTGACTATTTTCAACAACGGACAACCCACATCTCCCATAGGCAAGCACATATTCCAGTGTTCCATCACTTCAATGGAGAAAAACTTTTTCTTAGCATGTAATCAGAATTTTTGATGTAAACTGTCCCTGCTGCATCTTGTTCAGTCTCTGAGCAATCCTAAGAAGAGTTTTTTTTGCCTCTTCTACATATTTCCTCTTCCATGTATTTAAAAACAGCAATATTATCTCAGCCATGTCTTCTTAAGATGGAATGATTCCAATTCTCTCAACCTCACTGCATGTGTTTTTATCAGCCACCTAATCACGTCACTAGCTGTCCACTGGACTTGATCCAGTATGGATCATTTTGGTACTTGGGACCTCAAAACAGGACTCATATCCAGGATACTTTGCATTAAAACTTACCTCAACAGGAAGCTTGTACTTAGTGTCATACAAAGAACGGCAGATTTTCAAAATTTCATTTCCCATGCTGTCCCTTTCCTCAGGTGGATATCTCTGCAGCATAACAACAACCAGTTTCACCCACGGATTATCATCTGCACATGATCTGCCCACAAAAACAAACAGATTTTTAATATGTATGTACAAATATATATACTTACACAGACGAACACAAAGCCCTTCAAGATCAGCAAGTCCAACCATCAGCCTGAGCTACGGAGTCTCTCAACTGAACCATGTCACTGAGTGTCACATCCATAGATCTTCTGAATACCTCTAGGGGTGGGTAGCCTGTTCCAACACTTGGTAACCCTGTGAGAAATTCTTCTTCATTTCCAATCTAAACTTCCCCTGGAACAACTTGAAAACATTTCCTATTATCTGTTACATGAGAAATGAGATCAACACCCTCTTTGCTGCAACCCTCCTTAGCCACTTCTCCAGAGCAAACACTGCCTCGTTGCTCTTTGCACATGCTCAAGCAACTCAATACTCTTTTTTAATATCCTACAAATCCAAACACAAACTCATTCAGTATCATTGTTACAGTGTCAACCTTAATCCAAGGGCAGAAATTAGACATACCTAAATTTTACCATGCATGCTGGCAGAGGCAGCATTTACTATAAAATTTTAATTGCTGGAGCATTTCTTGGCCTACAGCTGCTATTTGCTAGGTCAAGAGATGTCTGGCTACTTTTGGCAGTGACAGGTGTACTTGCTAGGACTGGATGTACTGGCAGAAAAGAGTAGCAGACCAAAGCTTTTAAACAAGAGCATGAAGGAATGCACCCACATTGCCATTTTGCTAACATGAATTAATTTTGTTACTCCATTTCAATGCATCTCTAATACAGACTAAATCCATGCAGAGCAATGTAGATTGAGAATGTATAAAGCCACAGTAACACAGTAACTATGTTCATTTGTGAATGAAATTTGGAAGGCACAAAAAGTGGTTTAAAAATCACCTGTCAATCTCTGGTCATTAATCATTTAACCAAGGAATTGAGATTTTTTTTTTAATTTTTGTTTGGAAAAGGAAAAAAATCACAGAAGGTACAAATCTGGCAGGTCAGTCTTACAACTCACAGTAAATTAAGATACTTGTCCAGCACAAGTGGGAAGGAGCAGTGAAGTGCTTTGAAAGTGCTCCTATTCAATGGTATTATTTAGCAGCAATTGTTGAAAGCAACATAATAAATATAACAGCAAATTGAGTCAAACAAATTGGTTGCTGACACATACCAAGGAATAGGTCTGACAATTCAGGAGAGCACAGCTGCTGATATCTACTATTTCATATATATTTAAAAAAAGCTTCCACATGAAGCTGTCATTATATTCTAACACAAAACCCAGACAAAGATTCTAGAAGCGGTTAACTTTGAATGCAAACTAAATGGAAGTCATTATTTTTATTCTTTTTGACAACTTAATTGAGCTTTTCCATCAGTCACAGTCACTGAACAAACTGCTGCCATGAGTCTGGCTGGAAGCAGCACAGCTCTTCTCCTCCCTTCCAACATGAAGGGTTGAACCCAAAGAAGCCAACTTATTTGACAAGCAGAACATGATGCACTTGATCTATGAACCCCCAATAAGGTCAGGAGAAGAAAAAAAGCGCAACTCCATCTTTGCCACTGGCTAAATTAATAGCTCTTGCTATGTGATCCATCTCTTGCTTAAAGGCATGGAGAGTCATCATGAATTTCCATTTTTATAGCTGCTGCCTCCAGAGTACATTAAGAGAGAATTTTCCATTAGAAACAGAAAACAGAAATCACACTTGAAAGCACTGTTAGAAATAGTTAGAAAGAAACAGAACACTCAGAAAAGTTAGAAATAATGAGAAAGATGCATCCCATAAATAAACCTGTATATGACAAGCCTAAGTCAAGCATCAGACATAAGTATATATTTATACAACATTTATACAATATAAAAGCTTGTATATAAAAGAACAAATAAGGATACATTCTGAAAATCTTATTTTTTCTTATAATTATTTTGAATACTACTAATAAATAGACATTATCTGCCATTTCTACATAAAAGATACAGTCAACAAAAATCTGACTCAGAGGCAGAGTTCAGTTTTCTTTTCTGAGTGTTACCTTTGTTCAACTATAGTTAAAAAAAATAGAAGTTAATTACTATTTTCATGTTGAGATTTATTTCACAAACATGAAATAAAAGCTTTTTTTTTTTTTTCCTACCAAACTAAAAATGTCTTTGGAGGAAAATTTTCCATTAAGTTAAAAAAAAAAAAAAAGAAAAAAAAAAAGAGTGCACTCAGCCACTGATCCCCCTAAAATCAGGTCGTCTTATTAATATTTAAAACAAATATAAAAAATGCTTTTTGAATGTAGGCATTCCAAAGACTCAGGCAGAGCTTCAATTACTGGTAAGCTTTCTTTCTTTCTTTCTTTTTTTTCCAAGACACTATGAAGTGCTTAAAATCACTTCTGAATATGAGATGCTGTGGCAGTAAAGCATGTATGCATAACATGAGTGCAAATATCAATATTTTTAAAAGTGCTGACTGAACAACTGAGCCATCTCCACTGGTTCCTCAGTCAATATGGCACAATATGGTATGACAATATGACAAGAACTATATACGTAGATGAAGAGTATTCTTTTGTCAGAGTGACAGACTGATCTTTCTTAGAGAAGACATTTCTTTAGAAAAAGTGAAAATGCTACTAAAAACATCCAAACTTCAGTTCTTATACTTCTCTATCCTTCTGAGCTTTCATAAAACTTAAGCTTTATTTTTCAATTTTATATTCAATTACAAGATATCTCCCATTAGCCGAAAGCCAAAATTTTAAGAATTCTGATGACTCAGACTTAAAATAGCCCAGTTCATACACGTATCATTACATCTACAATAATCAGTTGGCAACAATGGCCTTCTTCTGATGCAGAAAAAAACAAGACAAAAAAAAGATTCTAATACACAGGGCTAAACAACTGGCATAATTGCTTTCACTTCCCTTCTCTGCTTAACAGTTTCTTAATACAACTTGATTTAAAAAATGGGATTGCTGAAAAACCCATTCACTCATTTAAAAGATCCTGTTTTACTCCAACTGAGCAACTGAGGTTGGTTTTTCAGAAACCCAGGTGCAGAAACATTAAAAGAATAAAATAAAATCTATGCTGGTAAAGACACTTGAATGCTATTGACACGAAATATTCAATAGAGACAAAAGAGAGAAGTACGAGTAATGCATGATGAAAAGACATCAGAGAAGAGCAGAGATTGCTGGCAGTCTAGCCAAAGATGCAGTCATAAGCACATGATAATGACTGTCACTGACAACAGAGTGATAGAAGGTTCAGATAAAAAAGGCAGAAAGTAGCAAGTGTTTTGTTGTTGCTATTGTTATTGCTTTGTTTTGCTTATTTTGTATTTTGATCACTGGTGGGCCTCATAACTACAACGCAGCCTCTGATTCTCAGTTGGCATGAGTTATTCCAACATTTTTGAAGAAAAATAATTAAAACTAATAAAATTTAAAATAATTAAACTGAAATGTAAATTATTCACAGCAGAGTATAACAAGAGGCAGTTACAAAGATCTGTCTACTTGACAAGAGCTTAAAAATGATTACTCTCTCATAGTGAAGGACACTTAAGAGAGTTGTGTCTGATTTCTAAAAAACAATCAAACTTGAAGTGGTAGGACTGAAGGTAGAATGAAAATAGAACATCATTTCTGGAGCATTATTAACTGCTAAGGTTTCGAGTTCTCTCAAATTCATTTTGATGACAGCACACCGATTACAAAAGACAAAGATCAGTCCAATAATGTTTCTGCACACCAAATATATTATTACTGTAGGAAAAAAAAAACACATTTCATACTCAAAATATTATATTTTGCAGCTTAAATTTAAATTTAGGTGAAATCCTTCTAACACATTTAATGTTTATCCGTTAAACACAATAAATACACACACCCAAACAAACAAAATTCCAAAACTGAGCCTACAGAACTAAGTGGAGGAAAAAAGATCATAGACTCATAGAATGGCCTGGGTTGAAAAGGACCACAATGGTCATCTAGTTTCAACCCCCCTGCTATGTGCAGGGTTGCCAACCACCAGACCAGCTGCCCAGAGCCACATCCAGCCTGGCCTTGAATGCCTCCAGGGATGGGGCATCCACGATCTCTCTGGGACTCAGGATACTTACTTATAGCTATGATTATGCTGACTGCTATTAAAACATCATTAATGTTCTTTTGAAAGCACTGGTACTGAGCTAGAAAGAAGGACTTACAAGCCACAATACATATTCCTTCTGATACAGGATTTATAAAGCACAGTCTTATTGGCAGAAACAAAAGCGATTATAAGAGGAAAGCAATGAGAATATAAGAACAGAGACCCCGTGGGAGAGCAAAATGTTCCACCTTTGATGCATTTTTTTCTATTGGGACAAGTCCAAGCAGGAGAGAGAAAACTAAACAATCACTGAATTATCAGAAAACAATAAAATAAAGAATAAAGAAACTAGAGATGCAACATTCCTACTGAGAAAAGAACAACAGTGAAAATGGGGAGTGGGCAAGAGAACTAAATCAGTCACTTTTTAAACATGAAGCCTCGGTTCTCTTCTTCCCAAGCAAAACACAGCTAAGGCAATGAAGAAAACAGATTGCAAGGTCCTTTCCATCTCTTAAGCAAGCAGAAAGAACAAAAGAATGAAACAACAGTGGTAGGCACACTCTGCACAAACCACCTTGAAACAAACAAAGGAGAAAAAAAAAAACAGAACAAACTTGTTTCCCATAGTATTAACATAACTGCTTCCTCCCTAATCAAATTTGTTTTAATTTTTGGTAGTCTGGAGTTTCAGGCAAACTCAAGGAAATCTGAAAAATCAGAGCTAGTCTTCCTTTCCTTTGAATTAATGAACTCAGTTGTGCTGAGCTCAGGAAAACTTGTAATTTCACCATGTAAATCACATTATGGAATCATTAGTCAAGGATTCTTCCCCAAATGGCTACCATGCTACTACTGGTGGCTACTACTAGTGAAAGAGAAGGGAACAATTTCTCCTGAAGGGTTTCCAGTGCCTCCTGGCAAAGTTAAAGCCATTAAGACACTGAAGTTTTAGTGATAATAAATTATGTCAAAGGTAAAAATAAAGATGAAAATCTAATTGCAGCTTTGCAGCTTGTACCTTAAAACTGCAGACAGACAGGCTGATCAGTCTTCCACTATACCTGGGAAGGAGATGAAGTATGTCTTCCTAGAAACATTTCCAATCACATGAAGGACACAAAGATGACTGAGCTTAGTCAGCATTAACTTAAAAAGGGGGCAATCATGCCTGAACAACCTGATAGCCTTCTACAATTAGATGACTGGTTTGGTGGATGACAAACTGACATTACACACCTGCATTTATCAGGGTTTCAATACTGTCTCCCATATTTTCATGGGCAAACTGATGAAGTATGGGCTAGATAAGCAGACAGTGAAGCAGACTCAAAACCTGGTTGTTAACACTGGCACAAGACCTTTTTGGAGACCAGTGATCAGCAGTACACCCCAGAGATTAGTACTAGGTTCAGTACTCAGACTTCTTAATGGAAGGTCAGGATGGCAGTGGAACAGACTGCACTCTTGTGAAGTTCATCTTAGAGATTTTTCAAGACTCCAACAAAGCAGTGGCCTTAGGCAGCCTGCTGTAGCTGACCCTGCTTTGAGCAGAGGAAGGAAGAATTTTCAGGGATCCCTTCTGTTGTCAACAGCATAACAATCACAGAATCACAGATACTAGTTAAAGTGTTTATTTTTCCTCTCCTCTTGTACCTTAGCTTATCTAAGCTACATTGATTTCTTTATGTGAAAACTGTGACTAAACATCTAAGAGCTATACTTACTACTTAAAACCCTAAATACTTTATAACACAGTTGTTCTTAGTATTTTGTACCAATGTTCAGACTTCACAGATTTTGGAACTAAGATACATCCCACCTCTAAAACTTAATCCTCTGTTTTCTATGAACGCAAATAATATTTAATCATTAGTCTGTTTTCTCTTCTTCACTTGAGAAAGAGAGCCTGAAGGAACAGTACACCAACTGGGAGATAAAAGTAAATAATTCTTAATTTCTTCTGCTACAGAACAGTAGGCAAAAACATCTATTTATGAAAGTTCTCTCTAATCTTTCTGTTCACTATTGAACAAAGGTTGGCTGATCCAGCATACTGAGAGGCATCAAATTTTTCAATTACAATTAAAACAAAACTAAGAAGGAAAGTTGGGATATGAATTTGTGACAGATATGCAGTAGCCCTAATAATTTTTAAATGCAATGAAAAAAAATTTTAGCTTATAAAACTGTCATAAATGATTTATCAAAACTATCATCCAGAAATTGCAAACAAAATGCAGGCAAAATGAAGGTGACTAACCTTTCCAGATTAGTTTCTAATGGACTAGTTCTCACCATATACACAAAAGAATTACCGTTCATAAACAGCTAAGTCTGAACTTTTCTGACAAATCAATGCATATAAAAACTTTGAGGAGTGTGGTGCCCACACTGAAACAGGATGCAATTGATGACCCAAATTATTTAAGGAAGCATCATTTAATGCCTCTAGCCTAACTATGGCCAGATGAAACACGGCATATCATATTGACTAGCCAGAAAGCATACTACTGTAACTGCTCTCCTTGAAGGATATATGTGTCTGTTGCCTCTACATTTTAACATAGGATCGTACAAATCCTCGTATCTTAGAAGTCAGCATCAGTTATAAAAAAAAGTGCAGCAAAAATTACAGCCTAGATGTTTCAAACGAACTATTTTAATAAATACCCATTTTCATAGGTGCAGTGCTGAAATTTCAAATAATTATCATTTGAACTGGTGGGTTAGTATCTTCCAGCTATGCCTGCCCTAGGATAAATTCTTTACTTACGGATATTTTTTCAGAGATAAAAAAGTAACAGATAACAAATAAAGAAAAGAGATAATATACCACTACTTGGTATCATTATCCTCATAGGCTGTAGAATGTCTATCACATCTGAACATTAACTTTCATAACTTTTCTGAAGAGCATAACTGAGCAGAAGAAAAATTCTGAACTTCCTGTTCTTTTTATGGATTTTCTATGTATTGCCAAAAGTAAAATATGCAAATCTAAGTTCAAGTACTTGAAAAAATCTCTGTCGAGGCAATAGAATTATTCTATTTTCACTATGATGCACACTAGACACCTTCCACTAGAAACCAATTCTATTTCACTTTAAATAAACTACCAATTTTTCCCAAAAATGTTATTTCAAAGCTTCATACTCCTTTTAACCATTTTTTAATTCACTGACTGGAAGATACTTGGTATTACCAAGCAACAAAATTTAGGGTTTCTATAGTTCAAAGAAATGCTCACCTGCTGCTCATTTCCATAGGTGGCCAAGCTTGAAGGAGTAAAACCAAGTGCTGAAACTCAGATGGTTTGTGACTAGATTCTAGAAGTCTCAGGAACAGTTCACACCTTTTTTCTTCACTTTCAATATCTGTTATCTCTACCTGAAAGAAAAACATTTTAAAATTAAGGATTTAAAAGCAATAAGCTATCTGTGAAGGACATCAATATAGTAAAATAACACAGGAACAGAGCAAAGTCTTCACAGAAAGCCATTTTCTTACGTCTCATTTTCAGTTACATGCAAGTAAAACAGGAAAGCAAATAAACGAGAAATAACTTAGGCACACATTCTTAGAATGACATACCTCTAAAGTAGATTCATTGATTAGTTCTCAAGAGTCTTACATCTCTGTAAAAAAATTCCTTACATTTCCTTTTCTCTTTATACATAGTTTTATGTAATGTGCACGTCCAATACTCCTGTAATATATATTACTCTCAGTTATCTATGAGAATTCAATGGTTTTATTTGAGTTTGCCTCATCTAATCTTTAGTCTCAGAAGAAGGAGTATTGGAAGATTACTTCAAATTCATTTTCTCAGTGAAGAACTTTTTCTGACAAGCACTGCAGTATTTATCTGTATAGGTATTTAAGATTAAAAAAGACAAAAACCTCAGTCTCCAGAAGGCTCTGTCTCAGGAGCAAGTGTCCATCTATATTCAAAATATGCAGCTGCTGTCAGAATTGGAATTCTCTTCAGCTGATAACAGGTTCTATTACAGATAATTACTGCCTGCAGTTTGCATGGTAAAAAAAAAATGTGCAAGGTAAAAGGTCTGAGCGTTGAAGAAAGGTTGCTGTATATGAGAACCAACTTGAGACTAAATGAGAAGCAGCTTATATTCTGAAGTGTGGGTATCACACCATTGTGGCTTTCACAAATGGAATAGCTATTGTTTGCCTGACACATGTAAGTTCTTATAGTTAAAAAATAATTTGTTACAATAACAAGGTTGCTTGCTTTCTTCTTTTAATACATTCTAACACTGATTTTTTCCTCCAAACTTAGAAAACTTTCAGGATATATAAACCACCTTAGTTTTATCTTAAAATTCAGCTGAAGATGCATAGCATTAAATGTTAAAATTTTTGTTTTAGCCCAAGTATTTCTAAGACTTCAAACATGGGTGAAGTTTTCCTCAGTTCTATAGCTACTTTAAAAGACTGAAGTTCTTATTCCCATCTTCTCAAAGTGACTGATATATCAAGGACAAGTTTTTCAAAAGAGGTTGGAAAACAAAGATTACTGATGCATTTACTGAGTTGCCTACATAAACTTATGACTTTAAAACATTTAGTGTTGAAAACTTTACTTCTTTCTCCAGGGTATGTCTGAAAGTACTGCATACTAAAACGTTTCAGACAGCAGACATGCGTTACCCAATTATAGTATCCCTCAATTCCATCTGTACTTCCTCGGATGAAACACAACCATACTCAGTATTTAAATCACAAGGCTGAAAAGAGAAGGGAGAACGGGAAAGGGTAAAAGGGACGTAAGACATCCCAACCTCTAAGGATCAAAAATATTTAGCAACTTAGCAAATTACTTACTAACTAGACAACAGAATCTCTCACATGGATTCATCTGTCCTCCAGTTCCTTTTTCAGACAAGAAACTGAGCTTTTAGATCACAGAGATAGCATTACAGATGGTCCACTGAGTACATTTTAGGATACCGGAGCAAGGAGCATGTTACTTCAGAACACAGACTGAATGTTAAATCTCTACAATTACAGATATAAGAACGAAAATGGCACAGAAAGCATCGGTATTAAAAGATGAGATGAACTATCACAGAAATGGAGCCATTGTCAATAGAGAGCAGATCACAGTAGATTGAATATCCTATTCAACAGAAACTGAATTCCTATAATTTGGCATAATACTGCATCTTTACTGATCAGTTTAGATTAACCTCATGAAAAATGTAACATCATAATTTAGTGCTTTGGACAGCTGGATCCTTGCAACATAATTGCTTACAACAACACATATTAGTGTGATCAAAGCAAATTTGAAAAACTATTCTACTCTCAAATACCGTGTGCATTTCTGACACGTTTCTTCCTATACTGGCTTCCTTAGAGGTGCCTACATTTCTCACTTGAAGTAATAAAAACTTAAACACTGTAGAATGTTCACTTTAAGAAAAAACTATTCAAAATTCACTTTTCATATGTTGTATTAAATGCACATCGCTTCTATTCACTGTGAATCAGGTGAGCTTTAGAAGGCAGCAATACAGGGAGCAGCAAGTGTGTGTGCTTAAAGACTGAATGTGATCTAGAATGCAGCGCTTGAGGATAAAGGAAATGGAAGGTTAATGAAAGAGTGAAAATGAAAGTACTTAAGTACTGAAGGACAGATGACAAGTACACTTACCTTCAAGAAACAGAAAAGACTAGCTTTATTCTACCTAAAATTTCTTATCCTGCCTTCCTGTTGTGTCTGTTTTTTTTTTTTCATCTTCACAGCATCTCGTGCTTCTGGTACACATATTAGTCCCTCCTATACTCCACATACATCTGCATTTAAAGGAAGTTTTAGGATCATTTCACTCATCTGACAAAGTGATTAATAATAAGTATGTATACTTTTATTGTAAAAGAAAAGCTAGGATTTAGGTGTAAATCTATGTTTTAGCATGAAGAATGCATAAGCATTAGCAACAATTTCATAGTGTCAAATATACAAGGAATACTTTTGAAATGTACACCTTAATTGAAAACAACATCAAATACTGGCTAATTCTGCAATGCCTGTGTACACACTTCACGTTACGTGTGAAAAGCACCTTTTCTAAAGCAGCTGTATTTAATCTGTGTGAATGCCTTCACAATCAAGATAACCGAAATCTATGATATGCCCACAAGAATGGCTAGAAAAATCCTAGTAAGCAGGAGATCAACATTATGTACCAGAAACATAGAAACCAATAAAACATTACAGCACAGACATCATCTGCTATAAAGTAAATCAAGGCATTTCCCCTAAATATTTTCCACATAGCTTTCAACTTTGAATGACAGTATACCTTCACCAGTCTCTAATTCTTTTCTTATGGTTCTCCAGAAATAAAAAATTACAATCAAACCACAAAAACAGACAGTTCTGTGCTACAAGAAAACAAGATTTTGAAGCACTGCACTGAAATGAGTGTTGGCCTTTTTACATAAATAGATTATACAAAGATACACGTATATGAGGGCTGCTCTGAAAGAAATGACTCTTATTTTATTATGTTGATCCATGACCTCAGAGGTGGATGTTGGTGGTATGGCAGCAGAGGTAGAACCTTCTCACCAATAATCCATTACATTCTGTTGCTGTGTGACAGATGGCAGCAGAGGGGCACTCTAGCAAAATGGTGTCTGGCATGGAAGTGTAGATGAAACAAAGCTCTGTCACAGAATTTCTCCATGCAGAAACAAATGGTAATCATTAATCAATACTTGCTGAACTCTTATGGAGATCAAACAGTGGATGTGAGCACAGTGAGGTGGTGGGTGGTGAGTTTCAGCAAGGGGCAACAGTGACAGTGGTCACCTCTGCTGGTGCTGATTCTTACCAGGGTGGCATGCAGGCTCTTGTTCATCGCTGGCAAAAATGCGCAGCTAACGGTTGGTGAAAAATAGTGTTTTGTAGCTGAGAATTTGCGCTCTTAAACTCACTGTGCTCTTTGCATCTGTTTTAATTTTCACATAAATAAATAGGAGGCATTATTTTTGGAGCAAGCTGCATATATACACAGACACAACAGAGAAACAGATGAAGCAGCCACTTTACACAACTGAGAGCGCATGCTCTGTGTTAAAAGGCAGAAATTTCATCTTAAAAGAGCAAAAGCAAGCTGAAATGAAGTTGCCAAGGTTACAGTTAAGCCTGTCACCTTGTAATAGCACAGCAAAACAGTAGAGACATTAAAAATTCCATTTAAACTGAACATTCTCTTTTCAGTGACTCTGAATGAGCAATTCAGATGGCTCTAAAGCCTGTAACACAACAACGCGCTGCATTTCTAGCAGCATAGTCATTTTCAAAGCCATGGTAATAGTACACTATAAATCCCATCCCTCGACTTTTCAATTAAAAAATCTAAAACATTCAAAGGTTACATACAGATAACCTGCCATGAAAGGCTTAGACCCCTTGTAGTACAAAGGCCTGGAAAGAAGAATCTGTCACTAAACAGATTAATGACGCCTACAGCAAGGTAGCAAAGAGTACACTTGAAATTCAGATAATCCATAAAGAATATAAAAGCGAAACAAGTGGAAAAGGAAAGCAGGGTTTTCAGTTTTAATAACAGATTTTTCCATTATTGCCTTGACTTCCCTCGGTTTCGTGCCTTCTCTCTGGCAATGTAAAACAGCTGGCTGTATATTTTAAAAGGCTGCACAAATATTCTCCACAAGGGGAAAGTCAATTAGGGGAATTAATTTTAGAAACAATGCTCGTGATACCTTATAAAAAGAAATACAAATTAAATAAAATTGAGCCTCACGTTAAACGATTAACATACAGAATTTCACTATTAACAAGGGACTACATATGCTTAAAATCAAGAAAACAAACATCTGCATAATGTTAATGTTTCTTAAAAAAAAAGTCAGGAAATTAACAACAGAAAATACAGGCTATACAAACAATACAGAATATGCAACCATTGCTTAAAACTGCACAAGGCCCTACAGATCGATTTTTTACAAAATAAAATAGTGATAGGACAAGAGGGAATGGTTTCAAACTAAAAGAGAGGAGATGAAGGTTAGATGTCAGGAGGAAATTCTTCACTCAGAAAGTGGTGAGGCTGCCCAAATAATCTGATAATGATCCATACCAGGAACTGTACAAGACCTGGTTGGATGGGCCCTGGGCAGCCTGATCCATGCAGTGGCTGACAACCATGCCCACGCAGGGGGGGTTGGCACTGGCTGTTCTTAAGGTACTCTCCAACCCAAACTGTTCTATGATTCTGTTATTTTTTTGCATCTCTGAGCTTACTCACACAACACACCACATAGAATTATGCAGCTTTAGCCATTAAAACCACTATTTTTCCTCAGGTGGTTATGGTCTTATTATTAGCAGCAGA